ACGCACGATCTGTTTTGTGATCTAACGTGCCGTCCGCGTATGCACAACCAGTAACTATAAATACTCCCCCTAGTAGGTCCAAAAAAGGCAACGGCGTAACCCTGCATCGATCTCTTCGCTGCCTGGCCACCATGTCTTCCTCCGCCGTCCGGCCGTGTTTCCTTTGCCTCCACGCTCCCGCTTCCTCCTCCGGCCTCCTCCTGACCAGCCGTCCGCATCGCAGCAGCGCCCTGCCGCCGGCACATGGGCGTAACAACCGGAAGCCCGTCGGCCACGGGATCGTCTGCAGCCAGGCCGGCGCCGGCGATGGTCACGCCATGACGATCAAAATCAACCCCAGGGATCGAGCGGAGAAGGATTATGTGAGACACTTGACCTGATCTTCCTCTGTTTTTTGACTAACTGATACTTAATCTCCCAACGGGTGGATTTGTTTGAACTTCCGCTCCAGATTGATATTGTGATCAACTGAATATACTCTCTTTTTTACGTATGCCTTCCAAGATCAGAATTTTAAGCCTTTTCTGGTCATCCATTGATGCATCTAAATATTAATGTTCCCCGACACAATGCCTTTGATTGACTTCAACACAACTTACCCTTTTAATTCTACAGAAACAATATGCATGATCCCTAAACGCAAACCAAATAAATTTGTTTAGAAATATCCTATTGCTGCTATTGTTTCAATTCCGTCTGGCTGTTTCAAATTCCAGATATATCGAAGTATTTTCAGCAGGGGCAATCGAAGTGTTTTTTTTTGTTTCATCCTATTTTCCCTATTTGTTTGTCATTATTTATTTTCCGTTGAATCATTCTCTCCTTCAATGGAAAAATCGAGGGCATCATATTTGCAAGCCTTTTAACCTTACCTAGCTGCTCATGCTGAAGTTCACAACTGTACTAGACAACATATGAGATGTACTTACTAGTAGATAAAACAAATTAGGACCGAACATTGAAGGACTCCAGAAATAATGGACTGAAATTATTAAATATACAGTACTGAACTGTATAATTAATACAATATCTTGCTTAGCGTCTTGGTCATATAGTCTTATATCTGAAGTCCCTTTTTTCTTCTAAAAGGAGTTTCGTGAAGAAGGAGACAGAATTGAGGAGTACTTCAGGAAGTTTTCTAATGGCGGCACCTTGGTAACCCTTGTCCCTAACAGTATAGAATCATTTATATATATGAGTATGTACTCCCACACCTCATATACTAGTTGGACGAGTCGGTTATACCTTATTAGCAATTTCTAATACACTTTGTTAGAAACGACCAGATACCGCAAAGTGAGTTCTGTACAAAAATTGTTCGAGTCCATATATGTGTATATAGGAAAAATAATCCTACTACCGCATGTCTCTAAACCCATGTCAGGTAGTATATATATAGTATTTTATCATTTAAAGTATTTTCAGGACCATTTTTTATGTAACTTTGAAGCAAACTACATGAAAAAAATTGTGAGCCCATAGTTTGAGGAATATTTTGAAATAGCTTCATAATTGTAGATAGGAAAAAAAATATTTTTTAAATTGTACATCAACAAAACGTAGTATATATAGTACCTAAGCAGCCTGATAATACATACTCTTCGCCTAGTGTCGAAATGGCCTGACCTTTCTTTTCTTTTTTTGCGGTGAGCAGCACATGGGGTTAGCAACAATATTTCGAGGTTATATTTGCATGATCGCTAAAAATTCTGTGAGGCTGGCTTCTATTGTCATGGTAAACTAATTGTTTCTGGTAGCATTGATTTCTAACACAAATTCTCTGCTAAACACGATGACAATATCTTCTACTTTTCTCTCTGATATGATTACAGGGTAAGCCAGGCATAATTTCTGAAGATGCACGTCTCACCACACTGATGACTCCAAGAAAGGGAGAAAAGATGGTAACACAATAGTACTGTTTTTGTATTCCATGAAAAATTGATGTGGTATATACACTATGGAGCACTAACTAGTTGATTGAACTCGCTCGGTACTAAAACATACTACCATATAGACTCTTGGGGTGTACGTGCGCAACTTTGTCAGTACAGCCGAGGATGCGTACAATGATAAGGTCACTGAGGAAACTATTGTTACCTTTCTTGGTGCTCTTCAAGGTGTGGCAGCAATGAGCTACTTCATGGCTCAAGACACCCTTGCAAAAATTGGTGATGATGAAGCTAGTTCACTGTACTGCGGTAAAGATTCTGTTTTCAATAGACCTTGGTTGGAGTACA